CATTTCAATGATAGAATACCCAGTAAGTATGAAGAAGGTTCAAGTTAGATTCCTGGCTGGGAAACTCCTAGAGATTCGTCTAATTTATTAGCGTGAAAAAGGGGGGAGGGGGGAAACCTAAGCATGAGGTTAGCAAACCTTCATCGCTGTTGAAACTACAAGGCTTGATACCTTTTGTTCCACAAAGAAAGCAAAGCGCACCAAAACCAATAAATAACTTTGAGGTAGTGTATGTTTGTGTGTGTGTGTCGGCACACGACTCAAGAATTATACACTACCACACAACTCATTGAATGCGAATGTGGAGCAGCTAAAAAGGACTGCAGATAATAGGACAAAGTGGAGATGTTCTGTCGAAGCCCTGCATTCCACGTGGATCCCAAGGTAATAATAATAAGAAACTAACCAGGAACTTCTTCCTAGTGGATTTTAATTTGCATAGCTTCTCTCGCTGATGCTGCCATATAATTTCTTCCAAATGCTTAAAAAAGCAACCAGCTTTTATACACATGTCAAAGATAGTTTCATCATTCTTGGACTACATAAAATCAAAAATTTCGAAGCATTTTTGTACTTTCAAACATTTAGAAATAAGGGTTGGTGTATAAAGAAGATGAAGTATATGCATTTATACCGAAATGATTGTTTTGGAAATTCCTAATGAACAATCTAATCATTGTACTGATAGACAAATGGAGGTTCTAATTCTTCTCCCGGACTGTATATCATTCTCCTGACATTTGCATATCATATGTTGATTGGATCCTTATTATTTGTCTTTGTTCCTATTCAGTTTCTGATTCTAGTGCTTCTCTTTGTGATTGTGTGAAGATATTGTTAATGTTAAAGAATTGGTTTTGTAGGAATTGTGTTTGCCTTGTTGGAGGATTTCAACATGAGCTGACATCAGTTAGGTAACCATTGGAAAACCAGAAGCTGGAGTACTGGACAGCTGTTTCGCCAGCGTAGCTTGGGACTCTTCATCAGTATGCACCCAACGCCGGGGTTCGAGCCCAGGACCTTCTGGTTACAAGGCTAGCGAGCTCGTAGACCATTCAACCACTGGGATCCAGTCTAATGTCGAACCCATGAATTCTAACTTCTGCCAATTCATGACGTGGCGCGACCACTTCGTAATATCTTCTTCGATGAGTTACTGCCTCACCTTCAACCTGTTGTACCCTACTAGTCACGGCTTCCCACTAGAACTCCAGGTTAACTGCTTGAATAGGGTCAGTCACTAGTGAGCATCAGATTAATTTTCAAGCATCGGTTTTGTAGGGATTGTGTTTAATTGGTTGGAGGGTTATTTTACGATATGACTTTGTTTGAGTAAATGAAGGCCATTTTTACATTGGACTGTGTTTGGGAATCAGTCGGTGCGTGATTCTTGTCGGCACAGTTTTGATCCCATCACATCTTTGGGAATATTCTACTTGATTCTTAGGTACTTCTTATTGTTCAGTTTTGTCCTGCAGTACTTGTTTTATGCTTAGAAAGTTTTCTTGACTGCATATCTGTCTAACAGCACCATTGAGAACCACAGATCGATCGGAGAATAATCGTGATTAAGCTGTGATTGCAGTGTTTTGTAACTGTGTGTGTGTGTGTGTGTCTGAAAGAAGTGTCGGATAACTATACGGTAGGAGGTAAAGATCGTTTCCCTACGTTCAGACGAGGATGTGTCGGCTTTGGTCGTTACAGCGCTATTGAGTCACAGACACTCTGTGTGAATATATATTTATAGCATTTTTGCATACTTACACTAGCATATTCACATATTTTTAATTTTCTCGGTAGATTAACAGCAGTAAAACTGCCCTTCTTTTTATTATTACTATGACAACATTATCACTTATTGTTATTAAGTGTCATCAAAAATTTTTTATCTCCGCAGAAATACATAATGTAGTATAGAATGCTGGTTAACAACATAAGTGCTAACAATGACTTGATAATTGTTTTAGATAGGCTTAGATGTATAAGTGTATGTGTGTATGAAAAGTGCACTAGAGGGCTGTACCGTTTTTATTCTTGCGAAGTGTGCTCTTCTGTTTGACTGCCTACCGTTTGTCTGCTCTCTGTTTGTCTCTCTCTCTTCGTCTATCTGTCTTTCACTTCAGACATTCAATTCTTTTTGTTTTAGAGCGGGAGAGATAACAGACTACTTACTTTATTATAACAGTAGTATTATTGACAAGAATTAGAACTTTTAGAACTTTTACAAGCCAGCACTTGAAACATTAATCTGATGCTTATTAGTGACGGTCTATAGGATAAAGGTATCTGGAGTTTTATTTAGAAGTTGTAACCAGTGGGCTCCACTAGGTCAAGTGTGAAGACAAAAACTCCCTGATGACATTGGATAGAATGACAGAAGTTAACAGAATTAGTTGGCCTGACATTGGATTCCTTGCTCAGTAGCTGAATGGTTAACAGTCTTGTCTCGTAACCTAAAGGTCATTGGTTCGATCCCTGATGGGGTGGTGAGAGAATACCGCTGAATATATACGCGTGTATTGTTTTAAGCACTAATTATCTGTACTTTATGAATACGCCTCATTAAAAGTGTTGAGCCAGTGATAGTTTTTTCAACTGTGGAAGGTATTATGGTTATTAATATTGAAACTTTTATATTGCATTCTACGAAGTAGATTAATTCAGTTGGTGTTCTTCGCCAAGAAGTATATCTATGCAGTTATCGCTTGGCGAATACACTAGATGCACGATCTATCACTAATTCATGGGTAGGAACATTTGAAAAGTTCAAACGTAGAACATATCTGATGTCTAGTAGTTTTTATCTTTTAAACTTTATCCATATGATATACTCTTTCTATGACCAACAGGAATCACTAACATATTACTTAGAATTTACTATCTAGTGGTTTAAAGTATCACATGTCATCTCCTCTGCAAACGTTTTTCTCTCTACTAACAGAGGGTAAGTGTACATTTCTTTTTGTAGAGTTATTATTATTTATTAGCTCACTAAAGAATTATTTGTTTTTTAACAAGGATTTATCTATAAAAGCGACAAAACTAGAGCACTTCTTTTAGGTTGAATTGAATAACGTTTTCTGGTTACACACAATATTCAAATCAGTCTTAGTCTTGAGATACTCCTGCGCATACAGCAACTAGGGAACCTTAACACTGAAGGAGTCTAAAGTGAGTAAATGACAGAATAAAGGTAGTAACAACCGTTACAGAATAAAAATGTCATGCTATCCCACAATATATGACTTATCAGTCTTTTTTACCCCACTCCTTTGTGGTCTGAGTGAAATGTAGGACAGCAGGCTCCAGCCTTAAAGATTCAGTAGCAGTGGAGTTCATTTTTTACGGGCTAGAGTTGCTAGCCTGACGTTAAGCCTTCCTTGTTCATTGGGTTTACTGCCATCTGAGTGGGTTTCGGGAGTGCAGTGTCGGTATGGAATTGAACCTGGTTGGCAATTGCTTACTTGGTCAAATGACGAAAGTTAACTAAATCATTCATTATATAAAGATAAAGAAGGTGGCTATCCATACAAATACATAGGCGGGATAAACATAGAAGTGGCAACTCTTAAATGAGTTCTTCAGCTAATAGTAAAGGGATTGCTGATAGGTTTCTTGCCAATTAAAAAAATACCTACTGATAAAAGGATGCTAGAAGATCAGGACTTTGCGGAAGATCCATGTATAATTTCGCATAAACTTGAAGCCCTACAGGAGAAAATCAATACTTTGACAGAAGAAGAACCAAAGATAGGACTTAAAGTGACCATTGAGAAGTCAGAAGCGATGAGGAAGATTAACTAAAAACAACAAGAATCAGTCATCACCAACTTTCACTTATTTGCCTGGGTAGCATCATTTCAGTTAGGGATGGTGACACAAATAACGATGTATCAAATGGAAAATGGGAAAAACAAGGCAGACCTTTATTGCTGTTGACAATCAATGCGGAAATCTGATTCACTCAGCATAGGGAACAAGATCTGGTTCTTCAACACTAATATCAAGTCAGAACTTCTATGTTGGTTCCGAGACTTGGTGAACACGTCATCAAGAGCATTTTGAACAGGCTAGTACAGACTTTCATCAACAGCTGGCTTAGTTCTAAAGATAGAATAGTCGGCTAAAACGGATTAGTAACAAATAAATCTGGGGATGAACAAACTGAGAGTCTATCACCTAACAAATATGCCGAGAGAAGTGATGATGAACTGAACACACACTGGGGAGATCGTTGAGAGAAATCACACTCTAGACAGGCTGTCGAGTGGAACTAGAATGAGAAGCCATGGGATGGACGTCAGACAGTGACATGAAGGAGATGGTGTTAGGAGGAAATAAAAGCTTTTGATCGATTGTGGAGAACTCAGAGAACAGCGTGGAATGGTGATGTAAAGCTGAAGTCCTATATCTTACTCGGAAACCAAGGGAGAAACGATAATAATAATATAATCTCTAAACGTTAAATTAGAGTAAATCCTTGGAGATTACCTCCTATTCTTGACAGAAATGAACTCAACAAACTCACAGTGTATGTGTGCTTGTGTTTTGCAAAATAACTTTTCAACAGTTTGAAGCTTACTCAATCATATAACTGAATTTTTAGATTTTCCTGTCGATTGAGTGGACCGAAGTGCTCCTCGGTCTTAGGTTGACATGTCGGCTTCTTGTGCAAATGCTTCGACGATTTCTGAGCAGTTAATTAGAATTTAATTTGTGTGTGGTGACCAGCAGTGGAATAATCCAGGATAACGTGCATTTCTTCCTATTTGGGACTCGTCAGCTGGATGCATTGCATTTCCCAGTGAGCCTCGGTGGGAACATCGTCACTCACTATAAATGCAGGCACATCCAGATGGCGAGTCCCAAATAGGACGAAATGCGCGTTATCCTGGATTATTCCACTGTTAGTCACCATCCACAAATTATATTCAATCATTTCATAAAAATCTTACTATGTGCATAAATGAATTGGAATGAACAAAAAAAAAAAATCTTACTCATTCATTATTGCATTCGATCCTGGAGAACGTGTTAACTTTTGTATCACTAAAGCTTGATGTGAACAGAATACTTCAATGTTAGCCGGGACAAGACGACATGGTTCACCATCCATTTGCATAGGGATAACTTTATCAGTTGTTAACCGGATACGTTGACACTGACAGATTCGTTCCCCGTGACCGCCTATTTGTAGCGTTGCCTAAATCAAATATAATAACACACAACATATATATATATGTATATGCATATCAGTTTTGAATATTTAAACTGTCAAAGTTGTGAAACATTCAGTAGTAGAGTCCTCTGGAAAACCACAACGACTTGTCAACATATCTGACTGTTGTATGATATATGTACGTATATAATACACTGTTTCTATTGTGACAAATGGAAAAGTAAAATACTAATTTAAAGTTGGAAAATATATTTTAACAGAATAAAATAGCTTAAATTATTTTGAATATATATTATTTGTTTGACAACTGAGTATTACTCATAGGTAAATGTTATCGCTCATTAATTTCGTTATTATATTTACTAGAGTGATTTCATGTATGAATGAAATTTCACGATTGAGTTCAGTTGACGACTGAGATTGACGTTAGGCTATATATACAATGTTGCATAACAATTCCTTTTTTTCCCTTCTTATCGTTTATAAAGAGAATATCTTTTTATTATTATTATTATTCCAGAGTTAATATTTGTGTAAAACTTGGCCACTGTGGTAGTAAGTAATTCCATATTAATTTGTTTATTAGATGTATCACACAGTCAAGAAACAGTATTGTTTACTGGATGACGTTCGAACAAATTTATTACTATTCACACAACTTCGAAACTTAAGGTTTATGGTTTTCTTTGTTCTCACCTATTTGTCGTCTTTGGGGCAGTAGGATTTTCCAGATGTCTGGGTGGACAGGTGTTGAATCATTCCTATTACATGTATTTGCAGTTGATTCGATAAACAAAGCTTCTGTTATCAACCTCTTCCTCCACTCTGTTACATTAGATTTTAAAACTGTCATCTTATCACATCCATCCTATTGTATGACTGTGTGTAATTGCATGTAGTGAGTGCTATAGCTGAACTGTTCTCCAGATTTCTTATCTTATTCGGGTCAACCAATCTAGATTTTGCCTACTATTTTATGTTCAGCTAGTCTGACTGCCCCTGTCCTACTAGTTTGACCTATGTATTTGACCTGACAATCATTGCAGACAGGGTATTAGATAAACTAAACTGTTTTATTTTATTGACTCCACAGGATTGATCCTTTAACCGACAAAACTTGTTTCTAATTGAGTTTGTGGGTTTGAATACCAACTTTTATTCCTGTTGTTAAGAATTCTGCGTAAGGTTTCCGAGGTTCTTTCCTTGTATGGAATTACTACTGATGATTTAGATTCCTTATTGTTGGTGTTGTCATTGTCCTGCGCATATTTGACGTGCATATCGTCATTAATATTACTGTTATGATTATTATTATCACTATCACTACTATCATTATTGATTTTATTTTTATTTTTACATTCCCCTACATAATTTCTGACTTATTTATCAGGGTAATTATTTAATTTGCAGAACACAGGAGAATTTGTTGTCGGTTGGCCAATTTTTGAAATGTGTATGCTTGATTACAGATGACTACTGTATGATAAGTGGAACGTTGAGAGTATTGATGGTTTTATAGTCTATTTTTGGAATATATTTATCTGTTTGTCTATCTGATATCGTTTTGGTTTAGCTTGAAGCAGTGATTCGATTTATATATATATATAGTGTTTGAGAGGATTTTATTCCCGCTTTCGAAGAAAGTCCCTAACCCACGAAACGTTAGCTGTTAAAGTGCCCTATTTTCCAGTTTATCTCTTATTGTGAAGAAAATGATTTTATTTTAGACGTAAATGTGGATTTTAACTGGAGTATACAGTGATGGATGCTGGAGTAAAGAATAATAATTCATCAGCAGTAAGATTTATATTTGCTGAATATCTTCGTAAATTCAAGTCTTGGATCTAGGAATTCAATTCTGGCCTTCACCTAATAAATGGCTGAAAAATGCGCTTGATCTAGCCATTTTTTAAATAAAAAAAGTTTTCCTATTTAACCTGAAGAAGGCAGCGTCATTCCAACTAGACGCGAAACGAACGAGGACGTCAAGACACAGGTGATTAAGATAACCGACCACGAATATCAAGTACTAATCACTGTTAACAGAGTAAATTTGAAAGAGGTCACTTCCTCGACTTATCTAGATAACATCGTTTCAATTACAGACGGTGACATAGATGAGAGGCAAGACATATTCATCACTCAGAAACCAGTTTGGAGATCTTCTGCACTCAGCACAAGGAACAAGATTCGGATTTTCAGTTCTCATGTGAAGTTAGAAACTTGACCTACACTTCATGAAAAGCATTTCCAACAAGGCACTACAGATCTTTCGGCAAAGTTAAACTTTAAGCACCACTAACTACCAATCAGCAAGTGATCTCGAGTGCACTAGTCACATGAAGGAGGCATTTTTGTGTATGGAATACATGTATTTATGAGAAAAATGCATAAAATCTGTACAAAAGTGTTACAGAGGATACCTTTCTCTCACATGTGATAAAAATACCTGGCAATTTTAGGTTGCAGTATCAACAGTGTATAATTCCATTGTGGGTAAAATTTATTTTCATAAAGTCTCATAGTGTAATACAGTAATATTTACTGAGCAGCGATAAATTCTGCTCGAAACGTGGTCATCAGTAAATATTAATGTATAACACTGTGAGCCTTTATCAAAATAAATTTTAACCACACTGGAATTATGCTCTACCACAGTGTACATATTCTTTTCTTATATCAACAGAGTAATTTAACCACATTCTCTGCATGTTATTATTTAGGTATTCTAGGCCTGACGATAACCTTGATTTTTCCTGAACCTAACCCTGACTTGAAAATATCCCTTTATTCCCTGTAATGTAACCGGAAACAATCCTAATGTCACCTTTATAAGGTTAACCTAACCCCAACTTGTCTTTGGCTTACACCATAACTTAATCTTTCACAAAACTAAGCTGGAACTTGCCAGATATCCCATTTAATAGCAAAACACTTCAATGAGCATATATTTTATTGATGATGACAACATTATTTGCCAGGTTTCGCTAACTTGCTCAGTGAGCGTTTTAAGGTAATTGGTGCGTCGCACTTCATTGGTAGTTAGTGGTGCTTAAAGTTTAACTTGGCCGATTTTTCTAAACAGTTGTCTTCACTAACTCCATATTAAAGATTAGATGGCTGGCCAGAAAGAATTGTCTACAAGAAACTCTGGGAACGAACAAATCAAGAACCAAATGCTCAACAAATATGTCGAAGGAAGTGGAGACTAATTGGGCACATCATGAAGACACCGTTGAATGACATCTCGTGACGTGTCATCTCTGGATTGGAACCTTAAGGAGAAACGACAAGTTTGGCTTGGTATTGAAAGGGACATAGAGGAGGTCGTAACAGGAGGAAATTAGAGGGTACCAGAAATCATGGGGCTAGCTAAAAAGGACTGCAGAGAAGAAGAAGACGAAGTAGAGATGTTGTAGCTGTTGTAACCCTGTGTTCCACTTGCAACCCAAGGGAACAAGAATACTAATGATACAAGTATCTGACTTTAAACCCTGAAAATAAATTTGTTTTTCTGTTTTAACTATCATTTTCGTTCTACTACAATTTGCACAGTAGTTTAAATGTTCTTGTGTAAAGGAATGTCAGAAAAGGAGTGTTGCTTTACGGATATTTTTAATTGATTTTGAAACAGTGACAAAATCAATCTTTTTATGTAGATGTGCGTAAATGAGCCATGGCTGCACGCCAGTTGATTAAGAATGATAAGAAGCTTTAGAAGAGACATTATGTTCAAGTAAAAATAATACTTGGCATACTTTGGGTTTTAACGGTTCTCACTTCATCAGTACACAAAAGAATATGATTACTTCAAAGATTGATCTATCCCTCGCAGGTTACAAAGATCATAATAAAATTTCATTCTGACACGAGACGGAGAATTATTCGGTCTAAAATGTCATCAGTGGAGAATGTGAATTAATTTTAAACCCTACAAATCAACACTTGACCATTAACCTCATGTTCATTAGCGACTAGCCCGTTACAGGAAGTTAACTGAGGTTCTAATGAGAAATGGTAACCAGGGAGGTCCAAGAAGTCAGATAAGTGGAAATTAGCTGTCAGCTGAGCTAAATATATATCACGTATTGGCAGAAATTAGAATTCATGAACTGTTGCGTTGGGTTCCTGTAGTTGAATGGTCTACGACCTAGCCTTGTAACAGAAATGTCCTGGGTTCGAAACCCTGAGTTGGGTGGCACTGCTGACGAAACAGCAGGTAAGTACTCCTTGTTGGTTTTCAATGGTTCTCTGAACGATATCAGCTCGCGATCTATCCTGCAGTCTAAAAAAACTTGGTTTGTGTACTGATAAGTACAGGGTCAAACAAGTTGCTTGCATTATTAATTGAGAACACCAAGAAATTTCTTGTCATCACTTGCATCATTATGCAATAATGATTAAATTAAGACTTCATTTTTATGAAATTAAAGAATTATCAAACAAAATAATATTTAAAAAAACATTAAGTAAATTTTAAGTCGAAATGAGAAGACGTAGACGGGCTATTCTGTGCTTAATGATCACTGAAAACGATTCACAGCGCAAGATTTTTTCAGTCCAGTATTATGGTTGGAATTCTGTCTCCATCTTATTAGTCCCAACTGCTTTATCTCTTCTCTTTATCATGCCTCGAAACGCTAGGCAGCTGTTTCGTCACAGCTCTAGGCTCTTAATCAGCACATACCCATAACTTCACCAGGGATCATATTTCGGACCTTCAGGATACGATACCAAGCTTGCTGACCATTTGGACTTTTGGAGTAGAGCCCAATGATCTGTGAATTCCAACTTTGTTAATTTGTGATATTCTGAAGCTCTGGTTTGCAGGGATTTGATTGGTCACAGGTTCGCTCACGAATTGGTATTAGTTAGATAACCAGTGGAAAACCTGGGGTGCCAGATGGCTGAATTTGTGATCGGAAGGTCCTGGGTGCATATTGGATGAAGAGTCCTAAACCAGGACGAAACAGCTGTCCGGTACTCAACCTGCTGGTTTTCCAATGGTTCTCAGACTGATATCAAACCGTGATCAAACCTGTAAACAGTTCGTGATATAGCGCTAAACTTCAACCAATGAGCATCCACTCCACCTTCACATGGTGGACCCTGCTCGCCATAACATCTCACTACAGCTTCAGAACAGACATCTAGTAGCTCTTAATGACCTAGAGATGATATTTACATTATAGCTTCTTGATAATAATTCCTTTTAAGTATACTTTAAGGGAGTTCAGACAGAATTCTATTTTCGAAGGGAGACATATTGAAACTTCTTCAAAATTTTATTATTTAAAGAGTCATGAGAGACAGATCTGAGCTGTGCTGGAACGCAGTTAACTAATACTTGATTTCTCAGTCCTAGTGGGTTCTTTTTTAAATAGAATCACTAGCTACTTGAATTTTACATCTCATTCATCAATTGAAACATTTCGATGACTGCCTGTTAATCATAGGCAGTTGAGTTTAACATCATTAATATCCGAGTATCGCCTATTAATGGGTGGTTGGAGATAATCGGCAGAAAGCTGTGGCTAACACCTAGGTTTCGTGCTTGTTGGCACTCACTAGCCAGCAAGGCGTATCTGCAATGTCTTGAAGGAAGTCGTGTCCCTTCTGAGATCCAAATCCATGTCACTCCCATGACACAAACTAGTGTCATGAGTCTATTTCTTTGGTTGCTGTAGAAGTATTGTTCTCTTCAAAGCTCACTCTTCAATAACCTGCAATGCTTTTCCTTCATTTCCTTCAGAAATTCGGTAGTAGCTGGAGCAGTAGAACTACACCGGAACTTATTTAAATATGAGCATTAGTAGAGACTGTGACTCAGAGAGGTAATTGAATAATTTAAACAACATGAAATTGGAGTAAATTCGATGCATTTTGATAGATGAAAAATTTAGCAGCCCAGTAATTTAAACAGGTCGCTAATCACTAATTATATTATATTATTATAAAAATGGTTGCCGGGAGATGCAATTCTATCATTCATGGAAAATTTAAATAAGTTCACTTTATGCTAAAAATTGCGCTGAATATGTTGTCCAGAAGGACAACGAAAGCTCCGCAACTAAACCAACCAGCTGAGAGAACACTACTTATTGCAAATTATATTATCCGTTAGAAATATTTTCTATTATTTTAGAACTCAAATAATGCTGTGTATATTCTTTCCCCTTCTAAATTAAGTAAACGTTATGAACAGTGTGAATATAGTTCTGTATTTAGGCAAAATTCCTGTAGCTTACTATCACTCTGAAGCAATGTTAATGCCTAATTTATTGGTATATAAGAAGAAAAATAAGCGAGAAAATATGCTAATTAACTTACCAGTGTTGTCGATGTAAGACCAATAACTTCAATATAGCCATCATCAATTTTTTGAGGTTGAAATTCTGCAGCAGGATTACCCCAAGGCAATGTACCAGATCCATATCTACCAGTAGAATAGTAGTGCAAGAATAAAAGACAGTATAATGATAATTAGCATATTGACCTTAAAATAGAATCAAAAGATAAACTTTTTTGTTCAATGTAAGTTTTATGTAACATAAATAAATGAGGTTAACAGTATGAGTGACAATTTTTTCTCAGTAGGTGAACAGTAGGGTACAGCAGGTTGGGTGTGAAGACAATTACGCTCCAGTAGTGACAGTGACTGGTGCAAGTCGCACTATATAGTGAATCACCAGAAGTTGGGATTCATGAGTTAGCCGTTGGATCGGGTCCCAGTGACTCGATAGTAAATGAGTTAGCCTTGTAACCGGAAGGTCCTGCATTCGAACCCTGGAGGCGGAAGCGTACTGATGAAGGGTCCTAAAATAGGATGAAACAGCAGTGCAATAAACACCCTGATGGTTTTCAGTGGTCCTCTAACCAATGTCAGCTCATGATGAAATCCTGTAACCAGTATATAGTTTAGTTGACAATAGCTATCTGTGGAATTCATGACGCCAACCTCGTCTTGTTTAGGATTCATTAGCTGGAGATACTGTCATCCCGATGAGTGATGATATTTCCACTGTAACTCGAAACTAACCTCAACAATCACGTACATGGTCCGCAGTTGAAATTCCTGTCGCTTAGTTGATAGTATGCTCAGTAAATGAAGAAGGTTGGGTGTGGCGGTAGCAGCCTCATTCCTCTGAAAACAAACACCACTGTCACTGGAAATTTGAAGCTCAAGTTTTAGGCCGCACATTTCATTCGGAATCAAATAAAAAATAAATACATGAATTTCATCATGAGCCGGCATTGGTTAGAGAACCACTGGAAAACCTGGGAGTACTAGACAGCTGTTTTCCAATGGTTCTCTAACCAGTGTCAGCTCATGATGAAATCCTGTAACCAATCAACCAAATCTCTACAAACCAACACTTGAAATACATGAATTATTTGATGAAATTACTACTATTATTATTACCTGACTAAACTCTTCAGTTACATGAAAACCAAGCAACTAGAAATTCATAATAATTAATTCCAACAAATAAGAACTAGTTACAGGACTACATCATGAGCCGACATCAGTTAGAGAACCATTGGAAAACCCCTGTTTCGTCCTAGTTTGGGACTCTTCAGCAATGCCAATCACCACCGGGGTTCGAACCAAAGACATGCTAGTTACAAGGCAAACTCGTAGAATTAATACTCATCAGGCGACAGTTGACTATCGTAGCCCTTTAGATAATGCTGTTGAGTAAGAGTTACTCTAGGAACTTTATCCCTCCCAGATACAGCCTAGTTGATAAGTCGCAAATTGGACTTGTGTCTGTTAGATTCTACTATAAGCCAAAACACTAAGCAAATCACATTATTGTTTATATATTTCAAAGGTTTAATTATTTCACTTACCTTGGAATATTGAGAAACAATATACAATGAGGTTTTAAACTACGAATAAGCGGCGTTAAATCTTCGTCGTCACACTGTGATTGTACGAAGAAAAAGAAAGAAAGAAAGAAAGAAGTGGAAAGTGGGAAAGAGGAAAAAATTAATGTGGAGTTTGAACATTTTTGCATTTAATCTTAGCTTCACATGACAAATAATAATTAAATTACTAAAAAATAAATGAAAAACACATATAACACTTCATCGATACACGCAGAGCTATTCATGTACTTAAATCAGAAGAAGAGAGAAGTACCTCTGCAATACAGAACTAATCAGTTACTTTTTATGAACAAATAAGTGGCAAAACATTAGTCGGATAAAATTGAATAATAGTTAGAGAACTGTTTTTTTAGACTAACAACTAGTTTTACAGGATATACTTATTTGATCAGAATTTCAAAATTGACTGGGTAAAGTGCAAGTTGTTAATTGAGGATTCGACTCAATGTTATATCAGTTCGCCAAAGTAACTAGCTAACTAACCAGTTTTTAGATGGTTTCAAGTGATTTGGTTTTCTGAGCTAAGTCATACTGAGTAGACTACTAGTGAATTCTGCCCTTTAAACAAGCGAAACAGTCGTCCGCTGCTTAGATCACTTCGACAATCTGGTTGTCTCGGAGTACAATAATCCATGACTTCTGGCTTCTTTGGATTTGTTGTGTAGTACAGCAGTCAGCCAGTGTCATTAGGGAGTGGTTGTCACCATACTAGGTGGATAGACACAAACAATTGTTGACTTTGAAAACAGCTGCTAAACTTTTCTGTTCGGCCACCTGGTCCTCAGTATTGAAAGAAGAAGACAGCTACTGAAGTAAGCCTGAAATAGACTCTTGAAAATGCTTTTCGTAATTCGCGTACTAAGTTTCTAAACCACGTATAAGACCTGATTGACTTGACATTAGTGTTGTAAATCCAAATCTTATTCTTTACGCTGAGTGCAGAAGATTTCCACACTGATATCAGAATAGTAAATGTCTGTCTTGCCTTGCCAATCCTGCATTTGACATCATCATCAGTGCCATACGCCTGTAGTCGAAACGATGCTGCCTAGATAAGTGAAAGAGATGACCTCTTTCAGATCCCTTTTATTGTTGTTGTTGTTGATTAGACGTCTACATCACCTCTGTCTTCCCTCTGTTCACTTGAACTTCTGCCTTCACTGCCATTTTCTTCTGCCAAATTCTTAATTTTCCTCTGTATATCTTCGAGTTTGCAGGAAATCAGGCATAAATCATCCAAAAGATAAAGATCATCTAGTGCCATCTAGCTCCCCACGGTGTGCTGTTTCACTCCATCACAGTCAGGAGTAACGTAGGCGATAGCATGCTCTTTTTTCGCTTCAGAGGCTTGGATGAACTTTCCGCTATCAATCACTTGGTATGTAGTGCAGTCATATAGCTGTCATATGAGGTTGATAAAGGTTTAAGTCATTGCCCTCTCTAGTACTGAAGCAATTTCCAAGTTAATATCAGTGACACTAAAAGTTCATTTCCCTTATTAGCATTCTTTGTACACAGATGCTACTTCAATTTATACACAGTGATTCTCTTTTTAATTCATCTATTTCTAGTGAAAGTGATTATGAGGTGTAAAAAAAGAAGTAGAAACAGATATCTCTGTCATGTGAATGTTTGCCCGTACGATGAATATTAACTAAGCTTGGACGGTTTCAACTGATCCAGTTTTCTGAGCTGAGTCAAAACAGTTACACCTCTGAAGAACTCGATCTCAAATGAGCGAAACGGCCATCTGGTGTTTAGATCACCTGGATAATCTGCTACTGGCTAACAATCTCTACTCATATCAGTCAGTCAGTCAGTAGTTTGTAGAATAATTAGTTAGTTAGAGATCACTGGGAAAAAGCCTCAAACCTAGGTTTCACGTCTGAACATACTTAGCAGTCCTTGTTATTAATAAGTAGCATATTGAATACAGCGACAGAGAGCGGGCAGTGTGAAAACAGGCATAAAAAGGACCCACACACAAAAAACTTGGAGGATCTGGACTTTGCCGATGATGTTTAGCTGATTTCCCACAGACTGGAAGATATGCAAGTGAAAAGCAACAAGCTGGCCATAGAAGAAGCATCAAAGATAGGAGGGACTTCAGGTGAACATGGAGAAAACAGAGGTGATGAAGATTCCTGGCCAACAGCAACAGCAACAACAACAGCCAGCATAAATGGGAGAATTTGAAAGAAGCAACCTCCTTCACCTACCTACCTGGGAAGCATCGTTTCAAATACGGGTGAACGGAACTGATGAGGATATCAAGGCGAGGATCGGGAAAGCAAGGCAAGCTTTCATTACTCTCAAGTCTGTGTGGAGGTCAACAACACTTGGCATGAAAAACAAGATCCGGATTTTCAACTCCAATGTGAAGTCATTGCTAATTACTATACGGATCAGAGGCTTGGCACCGCGTCACGAAGAACACTTGGAACAAACTATAGAGTTTCACCGACAGGTGTCTTCGCTCAATACTCAAAATCAGATGGCCAGAAAAGATCAGCAACAGAGATCTCTCGGAGCGAACAAAGGCAGTTGTGCATCAAATATGCAAGAAGAAGTGGAGGTGGATTGGCCATATTCTGAGAAAACAAACTATCATCAAGTGACATAACACGACAGGCAATCGCTCGAATGGAAACGGAATAGGAAGCGGCGAGGGTAACATAGAGAAGGTCATGTGAAGAGGAGATGAAAGCATATGGGCAGACGTGGAGCCGGGTGAAAAGGTTGGTGGAGACTTGAACGCAATGGAGACGTGCACGGCTGAAGCCCTATGTTCGTCTAGGAACTTAGGGAAACAATTATACTGAATACAATTTAGCATGGGTTGTTTTGTTGTTCATCGCCTATATGGTGTTTTTGTTGTCGTGAATGAAAGCCTATTCTTGTCTACAAAATACAATAAATAGCAAAAAAGTATTTCACGGAAGGGTCTGCTATTTTACCATATATATATATCCAACAATAAAAAAGAGTACTAGTCACTACCAAGAGGAGAAATCTGAAAGATGTCATTCCCTTCAATTACCCGGCCTGGAGACATAGTTTAAACTACAGATGGTGGTATAGATGAGGGTGTTAAGGCCGGCCAAGATCAGAAAAGCAAGACGGGCATTCATCACTCTCACTTCAGCAGGGAAATCTTCTGCAGCTGGCATAAAGTATAGGATTCAGGTTTGCAACACTAATGTGACTTGATATGTTCATGATGTAAGGCATTTCAAACGGGCTCCAGAATTTCATCCACAGCTGCCTTCATCCCCTACTGAGGATCATATGACCGATCAGATAGGTTTAGCAACACGGAACTCTGACAAGCAGTGAGACAACCAAGAACCTACTACCCAACAAATATTTCGAAGAAAATGAAGGGGGGTTGGAGACAGGCTGAGGAGACCGCTGGGTGACTTGGCTGTCAAATCAAGCCGTTCAGTGGAACCTCAGTGGGAAACTGATAATTGTGCGTCACTTCAACTGTGACTTGGAGGAGATGAGAGCCTCATGGGAAATCGCGGAGCCAGCTTAAGACGACAGCAGAGGACAGCACTATGTTCCACTTAAAAGTTGAGGGAATAGTAAATGTATAATATCCAGCTTTAAAGAATTTAAATAGACATCATTTATTATACCACAGAGTAAGTTGCCAGCCTTTTCTTACTTTCTCAATACAATTTATGTTGAATGCAGACAAATATTACACTCACCATTAGTGTGATGTGTTCAGACAGATCACGCCAACTTCGAAGAAGTAAGTCTTTACCTCCACACTAGGGAAAAAAAAGATAAAATAGGCGAAAATAATTAATTAATATGATATGATAAAAAAGAGGTGTGTTCTCTCCATCATTCACATTTAACTTCAAAAAATAGAACACGAAAAGGGCGTTACTTCATCATCTTTTGATGTCGTCCCACTAACAAGAAGGCAGTATGGGAGTATTAAAAGAAGTCAGTTATCCGGAAAATATTATGGGTTGGCCAATACACCCCTTTTCAGGTCATTTGTTCCACTTGCTTTAAAAACGAAATCTATATTAGTACACTGATGTTTCGTGCAGGGAAAGTTTGCATAACCGACACTCTTGTCGATGAATTTAAGAAAATAAAAAAAGCTTATTGCATTAGAGTGAATATCTAGAAAAAAGTTTTTGAAGTTTTTATCGTGAAAACAGATGGAGAGAAATGTCTGCAAACTGTTTAGAAGAAACATACATATACATATGTATATGACTTTACTGTCAAAAGGAGACAGAACTACTGAATTGCTGGCCTCAAAATGTGGAAAAATAATAGCTAAAGAAATGTTTTTGCCGCAACACTATGTTTAAAATTCATCACTGGCTGTATAACTCCAGTGTAGATGACAGACAAGCCATTAACGAAATATCTTGACTAATGAGTATGTTATATACATATACTGCTGAAATATAATTTTGTAAGAGTGGACAAAAGACAGTTGAAAAGAAAAATTTTATCAATTGACAATTAGTTCTCCCTGATAGAATGTGGTAAAATTGATAGAATATGATAATATTTTTCCTTTGATCAGAAATTATTCGACCATCAGTGGTATTCCTGAGAAAATGAAATATTTCAAGTCAGTTGAACTATTTGTCGCATGTATGATAAATTTGAATAAGGCATTAAGAAGACAAATTTCGCCGCGAGATGATATCGTCATTTCGTAGTTTATTTACAACCGCTTTACAACTAACATGGTTAACAATAATAAAATAAAGCTCATGACAATTACTCAGTTAAATAAAAACAAAAGTACATACTAATGACCAATCATATTTAGATAGGTCATGTTGTACATGGTAGGCGAAGATTGAAGTCTATTGTTTTTTGTACACACACAGTTTAGGCTGTATGTGATTAATCCAAAGTACTTCCATCACCAACCCTGAATAAGAGTTATGTGAAATAATTGTGAAACAGTCATTAATATTGACTTTGTGACCTGACATTAATAAGTGTTTTGCAATGGATGAGGATGCTGGATTTCTACTCAGATCAATTGCATTGAGATTTTCTATATGTTTTAATAACCATTTTGGAACATGTTCTTTTCGACGGCATTGGGATATTCTGTTGGTTCTACCTATATAGGTGTCACCGCAGCTGCAGGTGAACTTGTAGATACAGTTTGAAGTAGAGTTGACAGAATTTCGTCCTTTAATCGTAGGTACAGGGATCGAAAATGTTCGGCAAATGAGAAAAAGAGATGCGGCGTAGAATGTGTGTTTGATGGCTGACCGAAGTCTTTGAGCTATCTGTCAACTGCATTATCTGGTCGCCCTTGAATGGTAGGTTAAGAAATATAGATAGCTTTCTTTGGTACAGAAGCTGTCTTTTCGAGATGTGGTTTTTCTTTACTGTGACAAGTGATAAAGTTCTCCGGATAACCATTAGCTAATAAAACTGAATGTATATGATGAAACTCATCCATCAATGTGTCACTCGTGGATATTTTTCGGGCCCTTGAGAATAAAAATTTCACTAGGGAACGTTTATACTGGATAGGAATAAAACTGGTAAAATGAAGATACTGTCCACTCCATGTCTGTTTACGAAAAATAGATCGTTGAATCGTAATGTCAGGTCATAAAATCAATAATAATGACTGTTTCACATAACTCTAATTCAAGGTTGGTTATTGAAGGTGATGGAAGCACTTTGGATTAATCACACACAGACTAAACTGTGTGTGTACAAAAAACAATAGACTTCAATCTTCGCCTACCATGTACAACATGACCTATCTAAATATGATTGGTCATTAGTATGTACTTTTGTTTTTATTTGACTGAGTAATTGTCATGAGCTTATTATTATTTTATTATTGTTAACCATGTTAGTTGTAAAGCAGTTGTAAATAAACTACGAAATGACGATATCATCTCGCGGCGAAATTTGTCTTCTTAATGCCTTATTCAAATTTATCAAAGGGACTGAAGGTTTCACCATGTATGGTAGTTGCTAACATGAGAACCATGAATGTGATCATGTTATTGTAAGCTAGACATACCAGTATTTTCGATGAGGTTCAAGGAAATCACCTACCTCTTTTCAAAGTCATAGATTTATTCATTAAGCTACTGAGTTAACTTTGTTGTTTTATCTAGTTGAATCAGTATCAGAGTGTTATGTAAGGTCTTGATCTTTCCTGAGCATTCTGTCTTTATTTTACGAGATGATGTTATGGATAATCGGATCATGTTAGCCAAGCAGTCAATGCAGAACCTGGCTTTCAGCCATCCCGAGCAGCTTGAATTTAGTGATTGGATGATATTATCCCTCCTAGTGTAATAAGTGTCTCTTATAGTCTGGTGCATGAAAAAATTGTTACCAAAAATGTAACATTCTCTAAAAGTAATTTTAGGGTCATGTTCCATGTTTGGAAGTGATCTACTGGAATCACTGAAACGTGGTTTTGCATCTATCGACACCAGATAAAATCAACACCACCTAGGAGATTTGAATCCACGTCATTCAGTGCAAAAGTCATTGATTTTAACACTGAGGTGTGTCAAGTGTGACTGAGCTTACAAAGGGGTGGATTATATACACACTCGAAGGTGATTGAAAAGTGTGCCTTCTTAGTTTGACTTCATTTATGTGCCAATTCGTTGACCATTGCCAGAAGTAAATCATTGTGATGAGTGGTCTAGCATTACAAGCATATCAGAGACGCAATTAGCAAAGTTTAATCACATTGTAGAATCTGACAAGATAATAACCACTTCCGTTCATTGAAGATCTGCACATTTACCACTCAAATGTATTTTCCTGAAGTTATAATTAACTTACAGATTTGTAGTTGGAGTTTTATAATGTTAATTAAAATTAAAAATTTGTCGTATTATTATGCTCTTTAACATTTAGCTTACTTTAGCCTAGTCATTTAAATGAGTATTAGAGTGAACAGACTATTCACTACTTCTGTTGGTTTCCACTTGAATTGGCTACAGTTTACTGAAATTCCTTACAAAGTCACCTAATGAGCACACAGAAACCATTTCTTCACGCGAAGTCACAGAAGGAGATCTCTTTGCTCACTATTTCATACTTTTGATAGTTTCTTTTTTCAATTTACGCCAGTTAGTTATTGTTACCTGAATCGCTTCGTTTCTCCCCCTGGTTTTGGGGATCACCGGCACCTACTTCTGAAGAGTCTCAAAATAGGACGAAATATGCATCGAATAGATTCCCTTACTGCTATTCTCCGTCCACACAAATAAATTCCGACTGATTTTGTCATAAATATCAATATCAAAAAAAGGTTAAACAGCATGATGTAATTCTCCACTGTTATCGATTAGGATGAAAAGAAGAAAGTACGCCTTAGGTTTAAAGAAATAAACTCTGAATATGAAAGTAAAGAGGCTACTCATTAATTTTATATCAGTAGTAAGAATTAGATAAAGTGAGGAAATCTGCTTCTTTTTTAGATTCTGAAGAAAAAGCAATCAGCCTCTTTTATTATGATGAATAAATGTGACATGAGCACTTTAAATAAACTTGGTATTGAGCAAAGATATCAGCCAATGTTTCTTCTTGTCACAGAAACCAGTAATATTTACTGTCATTGACGATCAGCTGGTTGGGTCGGCCAATTTGAAATTACCCAACGTAAGCAAGGGAGAATCATCTTAACATATGTGAACAACATTTATGAAATCACCGAATGACTATTGAAATACTTCGGAATATATTTCATCTATAAACCAACGGAATCACCTCAGAATTGATCACTAGCTAAAATTATTTAGAGAACCACTGGAAAGATCTTCATCAGGACCACCTACTGGGGTCCGAAACCGAGGCCTTCCATTCACAAGGCGAGTTCGAAGACCACTCAGCCACTAGGACCCGATGCAATGGTCCATGAATTCAGACTTCTGCAAATTTGTGATATTTAGGGCAACCGCTAGCCATTGACACCTGCCAGTAACTATCCTGTTGCTTGACTTGGTCGACCCTCAATTCACTCTATGCTGTGTTATCCTAAAGAAGCAACAGCACAGAAGATAACACTAACATCATCTAAAAGGTAAATTGTAGCAACTGTGAAAAACACTACATAGGTCAAAGTGGTCATCCACCTCAACATTGAATTCAAGATCACAGACCAGCCTTCAAAAGACTTAATATTATATTTCTTCATATCAGTACGTGTGGACAACTGCGAACACTAGTTCGACGGTAAAATTATGCAAATCTTAGACAATGGAATCACTAAAAGTATCGCAGGATTCCTAGAAGCCTGGCATTTAGATAAATCTGAAATAAACAGGTATATTGATATAAATAGGACTATTCAGGCAATGAAAATGAAGTCACGTGGACAAGAGGTCAAAAAGTCCAGTCAACATAATATTCAGTATCAACAAGAAACAAACAAGTGGAGGATAAAAAATATCCCAGGCTAATCAGTCACTTGGTGTAGGGGCGATTATTACACCCAGGGAGAATTCTAAAAGCTTACTACGCATTAAAGTTAGCGCTAAGAATATCATCCAGAAAAGAAAATATGAAGGCTTTACAGTCAAGCCATTGACCTCAGAGAAACCAACCAACTACACCAAGACTATCCTTCCATATAAGCTATCCATGTTTTTCACCATTTCCCAGTGGTATTTGGTCAGAAACATTTTCTGCATGCAAAATTGTTATCCACTTAATGTTTAAAGTGAAGCTTTATATCAAAAGAAAATTTAGCATGATAAGAAACCTAAGTCTCTCTGCTTAGGAAAAGAAAATGGATAAAATCACTTGGTTTTTCTAAGGTAGTATTTTGGTGTAGTAAAGTAAACTATCTTACAGGTTATTGAGTCTCCCGATAATTCATATGTTGGATGAAGTGAAATGATTATAAAACTTTATGCTTATTTATTGTCGATTATTATTTCATCCCGGTTTGGGGCTCTTCATCAGTCGTCATCCCTTCAGTCCCACCAGGGACTGGACCTAAGACCTTCAGATTACAAGGTGAGTTTCTTGAGCATTAAGCGACTTGGATGGAGTCCAACGGTCTGTGAATTCTAACCTCAATTATTTCGTGATATAACTCCATTGTATTAGATAGCGGTGGATGACTAGTCAACGGGATCACCTAGTAACCTAAGGGTGCTGATTTCTGATCCCGGTAGGTTCATTGAAGCTCACTGCTGAAGTCAGTCAGGACAAAACACTGATGCAGTTCTCTACTGCTTTATGTGAATTTATTTGACAACAGCAAAAGTTCAGCAATATTCGTGACTATGGTGGACTGGATTATGCAACAGACAGTGTATGGGGTATACCTTCGACCGACAAGCTAACTCTAAAAGATTTTGACCTCATGCATGATTTACGACTAATGTCACACAAGACTGAAGAGCTGCGAACGAATACCAGTAATTTACTAACAAAAACAGAGAAGACAGGAGAGTTCAAATGAACAAAAAGAAGGTAGAGATGATAAAGATGCCTAACCAACAGCAGTAAAAATGACAAGAATCACCTATCCCCGTCAAAAGAAGAAACCTGAATGAAGCCACTTCTTTCCCATATCTAAGTAGCATCGTTTCAACTACAGGCAACATGGATGAGGGTATCAAAACCAACCAAGACAGAGCTTCACTCATCTCAAATCAATGTGGAAATCTGTCATTATCACCATAAGGAATAAGATTCAGATTTTCAACATCATCTCCCTTCGTTCAACACACTGAAGATTAGATGACCAATCGAAAGAGATAAGCAACAAGGACTTCTGGGAGTGAACCAACCATGAAGGTATTTATCCCTCCCCCCCAAATAAAGATGTATCAGACACGCACACGCTGAAGCTACTGTTGAATAACATCACATTCAAATCAGGCCGTCAAATAGAAGTTGATTAGAAAACGGCGAGTTGGGCGACGGTCCGAGAATAACATCGTAGAGATGAGAGACTATGAGCATTCGTGGAATCAGCTAAAGAAGTACTGAAACGAACAGGATGAAGTTAGAGATATACTCTATTGAAATTATATATTCCACTCGGAACCCAAGGGAACAATAATAATAATAATGATATTAAGTAATAAAAGTTCCACGCACATACACACACACTCAGTAAACAAACGGTGGTGATTACTTTCACTGAGATAACGAAAAATGAGAAGCAAAACAAACAGCACTTGATAGAAGGCAATTAGATTAGCTTTCGTGATATATGCATATATATGTATATATATATATATCATAGAGTGAAACCAATAACTTTTCAGATCGAAAGCCCACTGGACATAATTCGAAAAATTTAGCATAAAATTGAAACAACTCATGAATACTATTTGTACAATATGTTCTCATATATATTACTGATAAGAAATTTCCCTTATTGTTTATTTGATTAGAATAAATCTTGAAAGCTAAATAAAAGAAGGATGATATACTCATAAAACAAACCAGCTTTGTAGGCATATATATATATATATGTATATAACTGTATGTAAAGCACTCTGTTGTAAGACTTACTCCAGCATAGAAGAGTTTATTCTTCAAACGGCTATTGAATTTCTCCGGATTAGCTTCTGTAAAGTAAGTAAGCAAGTAAGTAAGTAAGTCAATATAGAAAGCAAAATAAATAAGGCGCGCGCGCGCGTGTACACACACACACACACGCACATACACTCACATAGAAAATATAATAGAGATAATAACAATGAGAAAACGAAAAGAGATGAGGAAAACTTAAGCCCGTTGAGGGGGGAGAAGGGAAAATGAAATGTGAAAGGCAACTAATTTTTCTTCTTCGAGATGAAAACAACATCATCCTTTACTCTATCTTATCACTACTGTATAGATTTTAGGTATAATAGATATTACTCATAAATGTAAGTAGTAGAAGTAGTCATTGAGTGAGTGACTTTTTGTATTTTTCCAAAAATGAGGACTGAATGCATAATTAGCACTTGTTTATAAAACAATTTTTGAAATGATGTTCATGAAGCTTAAGGCAATATAAAATATATAGGCGAATGAACAGAGAAACTTTTTAATAATCTTATTATAATTATGATATTATTAATTCCTTTTTCCAGTTTCATATTTCTGAAAATAGAACTCTTCCTGTAATAGAATCTTTCTTGTCAAAAGTGAATCTTGTTCCAAGTTGATTTGTTGTGTATTGTGGAAAGCATTTATGTATAATTCAATTATAGTGACCTTTGTGCTTTTATTGATTTAGACGAAGGTAGGCGCTACTTGAAATCTTCACAGGTTGTTAACGATTTATCTCTCTAAGTGATTGTCTTCTACTTTGTGCCGTGAATTGATTACATTGGGATGTTCATTATACTGCTTTCTCCATTATCAACAAATATAGAGATTCTTCCTTGGACTCTGAGTGGAATATAAGGCTTCAGCAGAAGAGTCCTGTTTATCTGGTACCGTGATCACCCATAGTCTCTTATCTTCTACTTGCATGATCTCCTCCATGTCAGCCTTGAACCAACGCCCTACTAATCGACTTCTACTTCAAGTTCAGATAGAGGACATGCATTGTGTACAATGTCACTCAGCAGTTTTCTCACTGTGTTTCGGGTAAATATCCATTTTCTTCAGGATACTTCTTGAGCAATAGGCTCTTGATTGGTGTGTTCTCAGAGTTTCTTGTTACTAGTTCTTTCTGACCATTCGATTTTCAATAGGGAGCGAAGACAGCTGTCGGTGGAAATCTGCAGAAGCCTGTGCGAAATACTTTCCCCGACGACCTAGCTAAGTTTTTGACCCATATGGAAAAACTTCATCACTTAACCTCAATTCGTAGACCATTAAGCCACTGGGAACCCATTCAATGGACCATGAATTCCAACATCTGCCAATTTGTTCTGTCATCATGAAATCCAATAATCAATCAATCAAATACACATAAAGCAATATTTGTAAATCAATTAGATGCTCACTAGAGACTGGCCGTTTTCACGTAGGTAGTTACCTGGGGTCCTAATGGAGCATCGTGACCAGTAGGGTGCAGCAGGTCGGGTGTGAGGACAAATACTCGCAGAAGAAATTGTTTAGCGGCGTGAATAAGCAGAAGTTAGAATTCATGGGCCATTGGATCTGGTCCCAGTGGCTTAATGTTTTACGAGGTAGCTCGCCTTGTAACCAGAAGGTCCTGGGTTCGAACCCAGTTAGGGTGGGTGCGTGCTGATAGGAAGTCCCAAACTGGGCTGACGTAGCAGCTGTCTAGTACTCCAGTGCTGGTTTTCCAATGGTTCTCTAGCCGATGTGTCAGTTTATGATGAAATCCTGTAACCAATCAGTCAAATCCCTACAAACCAATGTTTGAAAATTTACTGTTTGTGCTGAGTGTGGAAGATTTCCAAACCGTTGACAGTGACTGGTGATTGTTGTGGTTGGCTGGTTATCTTCATCAGCTCCGTCTTCTCTATTATTCACCTGAAGTACTGTCTTCCCAGCTTCCACTACAAAGCTTTTGGTTGTCACCTGTAGGTCTTCGATTTTTTGTGACTTTAGACATAAATCATCCATGAATTCCAGATTTTCTTATCTGTCCCACGTATTCCCATCTTCAAGCCCCGCACACTGTCTGTCGCACAACCCAGTCCACTAAAGGTAGGAATATCATCAGCGATGGTAGGTAGCTTTTTCTTACTCACATTATGTCATCTGAATAATTTGATTTCCGAAAGCAAACTGTGGCTTAATTTGATGTCTCAAACATTGTGCAGTGCTAATTGCTAACTGGTCTGCAAATTGTGAATTTGTTTTATGGTATCACCAATTCGCCCAGATAGAAATCCAGTGCCTTGAACTAATTCGGCCATCTCTGTGAGCTTAGTCAAATCTAGTGCACGGCTAAAGGGCTCGGCTACAAACGAGCGTAACGATTGTCTGGTGTTTTGATCGTCTCGACCTAGCTAACTAGCAAGTAATACTGGTTGTTATGATTGGCAGACAACTACTCATTTCAACCAATCAGTAGTATATGGTTTTATGCGAATGTTTTTGTTTTCAAGTATTGATTTTGTAGGGAATTTGTTTGATTGGTTGAGAGGTTTTCACCATCATCTGACATCAGTTAGAAAACCCTTGGAAAACCAGCTGGGAGTACTGGATAGCTGTTTCATCAGCCTAGTTTGGGACTCTTCAGTAGTACTCACCAACCGGGGTTCAGACTAAACTAAACTAAAAAACTTCTCGAATACTCTTCAAAACTTGTCATAAAAAATCATTTTCTTTTTGTGTCATTTGTAACTGATCATGCTGTCACTGTTAACCCATTGTTGTCGACCTAAACTATGAGCTACATGCTAAACTTCTGCTAATAAAATTTTCTTCTAATTGTATGTTCCTTTTTTGTTAATACGACTTGTATATTAGGCTGTTAGCAGTTGTAAAGAAGCCTCAAAATAGAAACGTTCATGTTTTATGTACTACAAATTTTGTTTCTTGTTTTACTCTTACGAACAAATTGTAGCAACTTTACTGGTTAAGCCTTCCTTGAATTTCTGATGTTTTTGCTGTTGTCTCAATTCCTAAGGTGGCTACTTTCATATTATTTTGAAATCTCACTGCATTATTTCTGGTTCAGTGAGCGATGGTCAGTAGTTCAGCTTAGAAAGAAAACAATTTCGCCGTTGCTTAGTGACAGAATGTCCACCAAATACTCACTGGGTCCAAGATTCGACTCCCGGACGGCACTCTTCCTAGTCTGACTTATTCAAGAATAAGATCAGTAAAGAGGGAAGGCCGGGTTTGGGTTCCCCTCGGAAAGTAAGAGGATGAGAAGATAATAACATTTCAAAACTTCTCAGTTAGATATGCTGAGTCAATTGCTACAGTGCACGCGTCTTCTGGACTTTTCTGTTAGCCTCCATCGCGTGAATAACATGAGAAACAAATATTAACCAACATAATCAATCTTTTAACACTCAGGAATTTACAGCGACATCCGATTCAGTGATCATTTTGGTGCATGTAATCCACAAAGCAAAAGCATGTAATGAATTGAGCATGAAGGGATACACAGAGTCAAATACTCTCATGGTTCAATTTATGAATCATACATAATGAACACAATAAGTATTTAGATAAATTGTATCATCAACCGCAACCATCACTGAACAAAGCTTGGAATGGCAGTCAACTCTATATCTCAACTTCATCAACTTTGAAAAGGCCTTCGACAGCGTCGATCGAGAGGTGATTTGGCAACTACTTCGCTACTATGGGGTGCCACCGACAATTATACATCTCATCCAACAGCTGTACAACAATGCTGCATGCCAAGTAATCCACAACGGGAAACTTACGGAACCCTTCGAAGTGAGGACAGGAGTAAGACAAGGCTGCCTACTATCACTAATGATTTTCCTGATTGCAGTAGATTGGATAATGCGACAAACAGCGGGCAATGAGGAAACAGGCATAAACTGGACACACACAAAAAACTTGGAGGATCTCGACTTCGCCGATGATATATGTCTGATTTCCCACAAACTGGAAGATATGCAAGCGAAAAGCAACAAGTTGGTAGAAGAAGCATCCAGAGAAGATAGGACTTCAGGTGAACATAGAGAAAACAGAGGTGATGAAGATTCCTGGGCAACACCACCACCAGCAACAACAACAACAGACAACAATCAGCATAAATGGGAGGAACCTGAAAGAAACAACCTCCTTTACCTACCAAACTGGGAAGCGCCGTGGTAACTACAGGCGGAACTGACGAGGATATCAAAGCAAGAATCGGAAAAGCAAGACAAGCTTCCACTAGTCTCAAGTCTGTGTGGAGGTCAACAGCGCTCAGCATTAAAAATAAGATCCGGATTTTCAACTTCGGTGTGAATTCAGTGCTACTTTACGGATCAGAGACTTGCACTGCGCGTCATAAAGAGCATCTCAAACAAACTACGGACCTTCATTAACAGTTGTCTTTGATCAATACTCAAGATCAGTTGTCCAAAAAAGATAAGCAACAGGGATCTCTGGGAGCCAACCAACCCAGTAGGAACCGACTGTGCAACGAATAAGCAAGAAGAAATGGAGATGGATTGGCCATACTCTGAGGAAACCATCAAGTGACATCACACGCCAGGCCATCGCTCAGGTGGAACCCGAAAGGGAAGTGGCGAGTTGGTCGTCAGTGCAAGGGTGACTTGGAGGAGGTCATGTGAAGAGGAGATGAAAACGTGTGGGCAGACATGGAGCCAGGTGAAGACCCTAGCAGAGAACCGAACGCAATGGAGACGCATGGCTGATTTTAAATAATAACTTAGTCTAACTTGAAATGCAGTGGTATTCATACCAAGCAGTGCTTAATGTTAAATATCTAATAAGATCACTCATACGCTGATTGATTATTGTTCAGTAAGCAAGATTATGTGGCAGGTCCTTGTTGTTGTTGTTGCAGACTGAATTCTATCAGTCAGGTCTACAAGCTAGATGACTTGCTATCGCAGTGCACTCTGATTTCCTGTGAGATGATTAGACGCAATCAGCAGCAAGCCTTATCGGCACTCATTCATAAGGCTCTCTTTGGGATTAGAACTCGCATCACACAGTGTGAAAGTCAGAGGTATTCAGGCTGCTGATGTAACTTCTACTGAACTCTCATGGAGGAATCAATGTCAGACGTCTAGTCTTTGGCGTTGGCGTAGACTAAATTGTATCCAACCATCCTGCAGAATGATGAAATATATAAGTGATCTTATACTTTTCAGATATTTTCGTTACACAATTTCTTTGTATAAATTATCTACGGCATTAATTAGTCGCATTTCAAAACTCAAAAAACGAAAAAGAAAGCAAACAAACAACGACTCCACATTGATTCTCTGCAATGTTAAGATGTTTGTTTTACTTTTGCTTAATCAGAAAAAAAAATAATAATAAGTAAAAAATAAAAATAGTTACACGCTATCATTTTCTTTTTCTCTAAACAAGATCACTAGACCGTTAATATAAGAATTTTCCGGTTGACTGAAAGTAAATTTCTACAGTCAAGTGGTTGCATAAATTAAAATAATAATTATAATCTTTGAAGTCTACTAAGTCGAAAGGGAAAAAATAAGTCTCTGGACTAAACTCTACTCTAGTGAATATATATTAAATACCAGTTTAAGAGTTAATTCCATACTGGAATTGCCGCTGTAAATTAGGAGTTTGCCAGCTAAATGATCAGCCTGAGTTGTTGTTTAAAAGACTGTTTCTCTGTTGTAATGAATTGGATAATTGTTGTCACAGCGAAGAAAGGACTCTGAATAAGGAAACTACTTGGACCGGTTAGTATACACAAATTTTCACAGACCTCTTCCTCACCGGTATAAAATAAATGTGGTAAAGACTATCAGGCATAAAGTCAGAGTTATATTTGTTCAAAAGATGTGAATAAGGGCGAATTTAAGGTTGCATATGAAAAGTTAATCGCAAAAACATCTACCCTGAAAAGAATTCCCCCTGGATCTTATAAAAAGAAGCCTCAGTATACACAACTACAATTGAAAGGGGATATACCAAGTGGAAAGATGAAGCACCTTGGCTAGCCAGCCACCTTTAATTGGCTCTGTCAATTCAACTGCTCCTTTGGAGTCAGTTATATTAGTCGTTGCTCTAGAACGTTAATTTTTTGTTCTTGGGGACACCTATTAGTGTGATTCAATAAAGGTGTTGTTAAAACTATCCACAGTTCTATATTGATTCATCTCGTCAAAACAGGCCTCAAAGCTAGTCATGCTGAAGAACCCTTCTCTATCATCTATCGTGTATCAGATAGATTACGAAATGCCTCCAGGTACCGAACTCTACAGACAGCGAAAACCACTGCGATTCGTCTAAGTCAACCGGAACTTTCAGTGCAAAAGAAGCAGGTCCACTCAGTCAGTACTACTACCTTGGCCCCCTGTCGAATCTATAATTCCATAGATTCTGTGTTACTTCCCTTAATTTATCTGAATTCCAGTCAGTTTAGTGTAATATCTCTCTTCTTACTGATGCTTTTGAAATGTGATCATCTAGCGACACCAATTATTGATTCGATGTAATTTAAAACAACATTCATGTTGTTATTATTAACAACACTTCTTTAATTATTGTAGTCATTTAAATATGTGCGTTGGTGGCACAGTGGTTAGGACGCTGGCCGACCATGCACATGGTCCGGCGTTCGATCCCCTGCCGGCGCACACCCGATATCTATGGTCGGCCTGAATTTGGGCTACCGATATCCATGCTGAAAATTCCACACTTGTACTGAAAATACGGTGTGGAATCAAGCTGTAAATCAAAATAAAAATAAAAATCAATTCAGTTGTATAACTGATGATTCGGGGTTCGGATTAGGGAAGTAGCATTCTCCTCCTAAAAGCGAAATTTGTAATTTGAAAATTAATTACCAATTTACATAGTTCTCTGTGACTGTTTCGCTACACTTTCCTTATGGAAGCAGAGATTATACCCATCACAGTATATGCGATCTGCTTGATACCATAAGTGGTAATCAAGAAACTTATAATAATTACATGAAGCTATATACTACTGATTGGTTTAGGTGAGTAGTTGTGCACCACTCACATCCACCCTGTAATGGTTGCTAGCCAGTCAGATAGAAGTGAACTTAACACCGGACAGATGTTTCGCTCATTTATTTATCAAGAAACACATGAGAAAGAAAGCGGAAAAGGACTACTCACTATCTGTAAACAAGAAGCCACTTTATATACGACTACAATTCAAGGGCAATATACCAAGTGAGATAATTACCAGGAAATTAAAAAAATCAGTTCTAGGAACTTTTAATGCTGGCGAACTACACGCCTTATTCTCTACACGACCAATGGCGCTCCCTCGACTGAGAGAGGAAGTACCTAGACTAGCTAGCCACTTCAGATTGTATCTACCAATTCAACTGCGCTTGTGGGGCGAGTTATATTGGCCGTTGCTCTAGGAACTTGATTTTCGTGATCACTCGAGAGCATCTCCCACTATGGCTAAGTAAAGGTGTAGTTAAAACTATTAACAGCTCGATATTAGACCATCTGGTGCAAACCGGTCACAAAGCCAGCGTAGAAGAATCCTTCTTTATAATATACCGGGTGCCTAACAAATTACCAAAATCGTCGAAGCACCGCATTCTCCAAACAACAGAGTCTTGCAATTCGCCTCAAACAACCAGTGCTCTGTGTTCAAAAGAAGCATGTCCAGTCAGCCCCTTCTACTGCTCTGGCCTTCAGTATAGACTATAAATTCATGAATTTGTGATATTATCTTCCCTAATTCTTCTGGCATTCAGTTTATTTTATGTTGATGCTATTCAACTGTAATCTATCAATGTCATTGATTCAATGTTATTTAAACATTAGTGTCGTTCATAACACCAATTCATTCATTCATTATAATATATATATATAACTGTAGAGCCTGATGATGCAGTTATCGAAAAGAGTACTCTTTGTTCAGTAACCATTCTTTAAGCTAAGTGAAAATGGATAGAAGAAGAGAAACAGCCATCTGGTGTATAGATCACTTCGGTCTACCTGTCTACCAAGCACTACTGATTTATATGAGTGGTAAACAACTGCTTATATTTCATGTAGTCATAAGGTTTTCTGACTGCTGAGTTATTTTATTGATAGTTAAGTGGGCCAGTAAGACGGAGATGATGAAGATAAACAACCAATAGCAACAGCAATAGCAACCAGCACCAATCACCATCAACAGGAAAGATTTGAAAGACGTTACCTCCTTCACTTATCTGGCTGGAAAGCCTCGTTTCAATCACAGACGGATGAAGATGTCAAAGCCAGTCAGAATCAGAAAGGCAAGGTACACCTTCATCAACCTGAAACCAGTTTGGAAATCTTCTACTTCACTCAACCAGAGTAGAGAACAAGATTCGGATTTTCAACACAAATGTGAAGTCAGTCAGTTCTTCTATGCGAGTCAGAAACTTCTCTAGCGTGTCACGAAAAGGATTTCCAACGGGTTACAGATTCTCATCAACAGCTGCCATCTTCGCTGGTTCCATGTTGAAATTCAAATGTTCAGAAAGAAATACGAACAAGAAACTCTTCAGTGGAACAAACCGAAAGGCGAGAGCCGACTGTTCAACGAATATGTAGGAGAAAATGGTGACGAATGGATCGGGCATACACTGAGGAGGCCATCGAATGACATCGTGCTCAATACAGGCCATCACTCGAGTGGAATCCCAGTCGGTCGTCAGTGCGAGGGTGACACGGAGGAAATCTTTTGGGGAGGGGGAGATGAGAGATTAGAGGCACTCATGGATCTAACTGAAGAGGATAGCAGAGAGTAGAAGAAGGTGGAGATGTGTTGTTGAAGCCCTATGTTCCACTTGGAGCCCAAGAGAATACTAACAAAATAATAATAATAATAAAGTAGGCCAGGAATAAGTTATTAAGGCTTCACAGTAGTAACTAACTTCACTGAATGCCAATAGTCAGAAATGAAAAAGTGGATGCATAGTATTGTCTCTTTGTCACTGGTTTGTTTTAGATAGTGCTACACTTCACGATAATAAATGACATTTCAAATAACTTGCTTAAAGAACACAAAGATATTAAGTAAAAAAATATGTAAACTGATTCTTAGGAGAAAATACAGTATCAGCTAAAGTACTTTCTTATCCTGTGGTATTATATATATACATATATGTATATTAGTATGATAGATAATTCACTGAGAAAAGTAGAAGTAGCATTCTTTTCCAAATTTTTGTACTCACCTCTAGATTCATGGAATTCCAGTGCTGTTGCTGCATCTGCACCAAGTGAGAAATAATTATTAAAAATTTTCAATGGTAAACTATCAGAGATTGGTCGTACTTTACCACTATCATCATCTTCAGCATCAGGTACTGCTTGTTGAACTGTCTGGAGATCTGTACGTGGTTCACAATTCACTTGCCATCTTCAATGTATAAAAGATAAGTAGTATATATATACATATATATATATTCTTAAAACAATTTATGCATGTATGTATATATGATGAGGTAAAGTTATACTAAAATGGGGTCCTATTGCATGTGTTTTTATGCGTATGTGGTATCAATTATGTCAGATGCTCTGATGATGTTCTCGTGACTTTATCTTACGCATGTGCTTAAGGAGACTGGACAACAATCAACCTCATTGTTATGTGCCAGTTTTGAAGAGGGTTTTACATTACATGCATAGTACCACTCTGGCAATGTTATGTCAGCTCGTGAGCCATACTCATGGTCTGGGTTTCACTTCCACCGACGAAGTCTCAGCATGGATATAGAAAGCTAGTTTCGCATATACCAGCTTACGCCGTCTCTAGCTTAGTAGACGTGATATCCAGCTATTGACCAAAAGACGTATGTGCTGCTCAGCAGTCCGCTTCGTGCTCCTCTATGGCTGTGAGACCTGGCCATTGAGAGTGGAAGACATGGAAAGGCCGGCTAGCTGTCTTTGACCAGAAGCGCCTTCATTCCATCTCCCGTGTGAAGTGGTATAACAGGGTGAGCAATATTGAGGTTAGGCATTGGTCGAGTGCTAGGTAAGGAGGGTAAATCAGTAGACGAGGCTGTGAAGTAACATCGATTGAGATGGTTAGGACATGTGTTACGCACGCATGCCTAGCCCTAGCTTACATAGGGTTAAGTTGAAAAAAGCTGGTGGTGGTCAAACGAAAACATCGCTTCATCAGTCAATGAAACCCACAACAGTTAGTTTAAGCCAGCCACGTAAAGAGATTTAGACTTCCTGGTTAAGGTCCTCGGGACGGTAAAAACCAATGGCTGGAAACAATCGGTGATATGGCTCAAAACTGTTCTCAATGGCTAGTGCAAATGCATCCACTCCTTGTGACTTATAACACCCAATAAAACTATATTGTTCTTCGATATTACTATTCTTTTTGCCTCATATCTCTGTTTACTGTCTCTGTTTTGCGTTTCTTTTTACTTTCTTCTCTTGCTTTGTGTGCTAAGTGAAGTGTGGCGACTCGAACTGCTGCACACCGGTGCAAAGTTCTATGTTGAAACCAGTCAGTCAGTCAGGGTTTCACTTCCGGCCAATGCACTCCTACTACCTCGTAAATCTTATTTTTCAACAGTAGGCTTCGAAAAGGGGGAAGGTTAAGTATACCGTGAGCAACCCTGATAATAAAACACCACCACTAGTGAGAATTCATAAAATTAAAGTCGTATTTTCCATTTCTAAGGGATTGAGTTTCGTGTAAATAAATATTCAGCTTTATTAGAGATTACTAATCAGATTTAACACTTCATTTCTTTGAGTATTTTCTAATTCAATAAGGGAATAACAATAATAATAATAATTCATGACTGCATACAAGACCTTAGATATCTCATAAACAAAAAATAAGATTTGTACCACATATTATTACGTGATAAAGTAGAGTGGAAAGTGTTGTATTTCGAGGCAGTTCATCGGATGTTAACTAAGCAAACTTGCTTTTTGTTACAGTAGCTTGATACAACAATAACTTTTCTTGAAAAGATATTGAAGAGCAATGGGTACCCTCAAAGGTTCATCAACAAGTATGGAAGATCTGAAGTCACAAATGTAGAACAAATCACAGTGGGTAAAAAGCCAGTCTACATTAAGCTTGATTGTAAAGGTGAAAACATTGCAGCGATGATCACCAGAAGGCTGAGTACATCACTAGGCATAGCCTATCCTGCAGCTAAGCTCGTCCCCCTTTATCGAACAACTTACTCTTTGGTTCAATCAAAAATCGATAGATATCCTTCTCATGTTAACTCCAACTGTGTATACAAATTTACATGTATCTGCGGGAGCAGTTACATTGGAAGGACGGAAAGAAGGGCATATCTACGATTTTCCGAATATGTACCAAAAAGCTTACGTCTAAAGGGAACAAATGCTTTAAACAGTGCCATCGCCAGGCATCTCCTCGACACGGGTCATCAGGTGGACGTCGAAAAGTCATTCAAAATTATCAACAGGCAAAAGAGCTCAATTCTCCTCAAGTTTGCTGAAGCTATTTCCATCAAGCGCCTGAAACCTGATTTATGCGTCAAGAAAGAAGCGGTTATCAGTCTTTCTTTGCCAACCTGGTAACTGGATATTTTTCATATCTCTTTCATCTGAATGCGAAATGCTGAAAAGTTTCCATCGTGTATGATTATTATTGTTCGGAATAGTGTTTACTATTACACATATATATATATATTATTAGTGTATGCATATATTGATCGATTGGTTTTTGTTTAAAATGAACTCTGTGCAAGTATGTTAAAATTGTTTTTGTAGATATATTTAATAATGTCTTTGCCCTGCAAGCAGATGACGAGAAGGCAACGAAATAAAAGGTAGTACCACTGTAGTTCTTGCTTCGTTCAGATTCATTAAGAGGAATAAATGTATGAAATAACCTTAAAATTCTCTAGAATTAGTGTTTGGGAATTTAATTGGTTTCCAGTTAGGCCATTTAGAGAACCCCTGAAAAACCAGGGAATATTGGACAGGTGTTTCACTGCAGTTTAGCACTCTTCATCAGGACGAACCCGCTAGGGTTCGAAACCAGGACCTTCGTGTTAGAAGGCAGGTTGGTAGTTACTGGAACTCGATCCAAAGGCCCATGAATTCTAACGTACGCCAATTTGTGGTCTGAATATAACTACCAGCCAATGTCATTGATGGCGAGTATTTATCCTCACTAAAGATCTTGTGGATCCCACTGGTCAAGAGTTCTCCCTAGAATTCCAGACAGCTTTGTTCAATAGATAGTCAGTAGGAAGCCTTAGATTAGTTTTCAAGAGTGAGTTTTTAGGGATTCGATTTGTTCCAGGTTCGATCACGAACAGGTACACTATATATTATTACCACCAGTCAAATCAGAAGTGGATAATAAATAATCTCAGAATTTTATTTCAATTCAAGGAAATCACAACATTCTAACAAATTACTTATTATAACTATAAGAACATTAGTCTTTTTTCCCATATAATTGTATTTGATCACTAACACTCATATTATTATCTCTGAATGTACATTATCTCATATTGATTTTTATTCAAATATCTAGTCACTTCCATACATATATATAAATGAAGGAAAAAGTTGTGTGAGTACCTTGCTATGATTATGAGCAATAATTTGTGCTCGAAACGTGGTCATCAGTTAACATTACTGCATAACACTGCACTGTATGATTTATCAAAATAAAATCTTATCCATAATGGAGTTACACTCTACCACAGTGCCCAAGTTTTATACTTATAATAATAACACCATTTAAAATATAGTAAACTCATACCATGGTCTGGGTTTCGATCCCCAACCACCGACGCACTCCTCCTTTACCTCGCTAAGCCAGAACTAAATAAAAAAACTGGTGAAGAGGAAAGGTTGGGCATGAGGCTATCAACCCCATCCCGTTAAAAATAATTACCACTGCTACAGAAACTTCAAACCTCTAGCTTGAAGCCCTATGTTCCACTGGTAACGTGAAGGAATAAAAAAAACTGAAACCATGCACTGGTAATATTTATAAGAACAGTTAGTTAATAAATAAGGTCATATGTTTTCCAGGTTGACTTTAATTCTTTAAAACAAATTGTTCAACGTTAAATACGTGATGAGATCTTTGATAAATGGAAAAAGAGAGGAATGATAGTTGATTGCATGGTAAGTGGAGGTTGGACTTGCTAGTGAAGGCGTTTAGATGCCACTGTCAACTTCTAATTGATTAAAAATGCCCATTAAAATTTTCAAAAGAATGGACACTGTACAAAGAGTACTCTTTTCGATGACTTCATTATCAGGCTCTACAGTTATATATACACATTATAATGAATGAATGAATTAGTCTTATGAACAACATTAATGTTTAAGTAACATCAAATCAATAATATTGATAAATTACAGCTGAACAGCATCAACATAAAATAAGCTGAATGTCACAAGAGTTAGGAAAGATAATAGTACAGATTCATGAGTTTATAGTTTCTACTGAGGGCCAGGGCAGTATAAGGGGCTGGACTTGTTTCTTTTGAACACAGAACACTGGTTGTTTGATTCGAATTGCAATAGCCTCTGCTGTTTGGAGCATGGGGTGCTTCGATGATTTAGATAATTTGTTAGGCACCCGGTAGATGATAGAGAAGGATTCTTCTACGCTGGCTTTGTGACCGGTTTGCACCAGATGGTCCAATATCGAGCTGTTAACGGTTTTATCTACACCTTTACTTTTCCATATTGGGATATATTCTCGAGCACGAGAAATCGAGTTCCTAGAGCAACGGCCAACATAACTCGCTCCACAAGCGCAGTTGAACTGATAGATACAATTTGAAGTGGCTAGTCTAGGTACTTCATCTTTCACTACTTAATAATGAATTAAAGAGAATATACTATAGTTAGAATTGATTAAAAGTTCTTCCACTATATGACTTCGTTCAAACCTGATAGACAGTGCTGGACAATAACTGAAGGGTATAAAAATATTCAAATAGTAATCTGCATTTAGCTGAAGAGACACTATCTATAAATATGGAAGGAAAGGTTCATAGGTGATTAAGGCAGGATCAGTAAGGTAAGGCAGACCCTCACCATTCTGAAATCAGTTTTGAAATCTTATGCATTCAGCACAAAGAACAACACCAATGTTGAGTCAGTCAATTTTTCTATATGGGTCAGAAACGTGGCCAGAGCGTGACGGAAGTCATTTCCAAAAGACTGAAGGCTTTAATCAACAAATGACTTTTCTGGCTGCATACTGAAAATAAAATGACCAGCCAGAAGGGATTAGTAAGGAATTCTATCAGCCAACCAATCAGGAACTAATTGCTCAAGAATTATGCCAAAGTAAATGAAGACAAATCGAACACACTGTGAGAAGACCATCGGGTGACATCGCATGCCGAGCTACTGTTCAGGTGAAGCCCTAATGTG